CCTCTCATTGTACCCACACGCCCTTCTATTTGTTATTGTTTTGCTTTACTAAATAGAAAAACACTTACTATTATTTTTTTTGCCGTGAGCCGGCAGCAGCAAGCTGGTACGGCCTGCCTCCTCGGACGGGCTGTGGCAACAATGAAGAACGGACACGCTTCAGCTCCCGGGACAATGGTCTCTTTGACTGGGAATATACCGAACCAGAATTACAAGTGTGCAAGAATAAACAAGGCTGGAGTCAATCTAAAGTTGTCTTACACTCTGTTTTATTAAAGTCAATGCACTTCCGTTCCTGTGTGCAGCGCCTAGGTTTGCTTAATTATAGACACCCGGGGTGAATGCTAATGGGGACAGAGGACGGGCTGCGATAGGAAAGCAAGGCCCTTTTCTGACCTCTACAGGCCATTTGGGGAAAAAAAAAGGAAGCTGCTTCTAGAAAATGACGGAGCAGGAGGCCCCGCAGGCCAGCGGCTGAGGGAGATTTTTCCTGGACGCATCCTTGCCGCTGCTCGGAGTGTGCCGGACTCACGTGTGTGTCCCACTTTCCTGCAGCTCTGCTACCCGTGTTTAACAGGCTACCGAGGCAAAGGGGAGGAGGTCATTCTCCAGGGACTTCTGGAATGGCAATGAAGATGTCAGTCATTCGACATGTATTTAATGAAGGCCCACCCTGTCTTGGGCACGGTGCTAGGCCCTAGGCATCCAGCAGTGAGCAAAATTAGCTTTGTTCTCCAAGAACCTACAGTCTGAGGGAGGGACAGAAAAGTCCACAGGCAGTCCTTGCAACACAAACTATGATAAGGTCTCAAAAAGGCGCTATGGGAACTGAGTCAGATCATGGAAGACTTCCCGGAGGAGAACGCGTTTCAGATCCTAGTGAATGAAATTTGGCCAACGGGCGGAAGCAGAGGGAGTAAAAGGGCAATGTGTTTCTGGGAACTGGAAGTGATGTTTCAGGGCCTCAGCAGGGCCTTGTGTGAAGAGAGGAAAGCAGACAGTAAGCCTGTGGCTGGTCAGGAAGGGGCCAGGTGCCAGCTTCCGTTTGTGTCTTAACCTTAGGACAATGGGGAGGCCACTGAAAGGCTGCAAAAACAGAAACGATTTTCCTTGCAAATATCGTCTGTCTACATGAGAATCAAGGCCGGAGAGGCGGCAAAGCCAAAGATGAGGAGGAGCGTGGGGAGGAAACCAGTGCTGAAATCCAGGTGAAAATGGACCAGGAGGAGCGAGAAGTGGACAGATTCTGAGCAAAGCTAAGAGGAGGCTCGACAAGACTGGTGGCTGCTTCTGTTTCGTGAAGCCCTGAGTGCCTGCCTTGGTCAGACACTGGGCCGTGCACACGAAGAAACAGATCATCGTGACCAGATGGTCAAGTTCAGGAACTCGGACATAGACTTTGCTGGAGGAGGTAAGGAGGCTCTGATGCGCAGCCCGTTGAGTTTGAGGCAGAATGGGATCTTATGCAAGGTTGTCCAGGATGCGCTGTTTATGGACGAGTCAAGGATCGGGAACAGCAACAGTATCACATCTGCCTAGAGACAGAGCCACTCCGTGGTCTCTGAAACGCCCTCCGGGGCCTTTGAAGGGACTCTCTTTCTTGGAGTGCGGGCTCAGGGGTGAGACTGCCTGGGTCAAAATCACGAGCCTGCCACTTACTGGCTGTAAATCGGAGGCAAGTCCTGCCCTTCTTTTTTGCCTCAGCACCCTCACCTACAGAACGATCTTAGGAAGAGGGCTTGCCTTCTAGGGCTGGGTGGCGAGGCTTAACCACGATGACAGACGTGACAGACTCGGACTCGCGCATGTGACAGCTGTGTTAGCTCTGCCTGGCTGTTGTTACGCACTGCTGATGCCCACCCTCTCCAAGGAGGTGAAAGGAGCAATGGGTTCGAAAGTCAGATGTCTCCAGGAGCAGATTCCAGCTCCATCACTTACTACAAGTGCCCTTTAATGTAGGGCTGAACTTTTTTTTTTTGAAAATAGCACTAAGAATGCCCATCTCCCACACAGAGTGGTCTTAAGTTTAAATGAGTGACTGTGAGCAGAGTAGAAACTCAGGCAGGTTTTTCCTCCCACGGTACCTTCTAAAATGACTTCTTCAGTGCTACTTTTTGGGTTTTGTTTGTGTGTTTGTTTTGGAAGGCAGAGGTAATTAGGTTTTATTTGTTTGATGGAGGTATGGGGGGTTGATCCCAGGACCTTGTGCATGCTAAGCACGCGCTCTACCCCCTGAGCTGTCTCCTCCCTCCCCACCTCCGCAAATAGCTTCATCTTCAGAATGAAATGTGGGTGGGGCCTGGGTGACACTGTTCGGTCCAAGAACATCCATCCATTTGGCCTCCGTGTCCTGGAGGTCAGGACTGCCAGCCTCTTGGCTTGCTCACTCTGCTGCACAGCCAGTACGGAAGTGACCCCAGTGTCCCTTCTTCCCCGGACCTCCAACGACCCGGGTCACTCTCAGGCACCTCAACTGAACTGTGTCAAAGAATTGTACTTAATTATTATTATTATTTTGTCAGAAGGAAGGTCATAATATACTCCCAGTACTAAGAAATCGGTTTCACCCTGTTCCGCCCTACAAACGATGACAGAAAGATCACGAAAAGCGCCTGATCAGAATGACCAGTTTGTGCCTGTCATCCTAACAGCCCATCGCTCTGCTCTGTGGGGCTACTTGTCATAAGAAAGGCGGGAATGTGATTAAAGCGGTGATTTTCTCACAAATGCGCATCCTCTTCCAAAGAGAACTGGATCTATTTTTCTTCATGCCCTGAACGGGCTCAAAATAGCCACATGCTGGAAGGCCAGTCTCTGTCATCAGCTGATGAGAGAGGATCTCAGTTTCTACGCAAAGGGCCTGCACTTCAAGTTTTGTGGGAAAACATGGCATAAAATCATCACATAACTACCCCCGGCCTTTAGACACATGTGCCTGATGAGAAACCTTTCTTCACTTGCTTTTTTTATTTTCTGCAAGCCCTGGACCTATATTTTGTGTGTGTGTGTGTGCGCACGTGCATGTGCATGTGTGTGTGCCTGATGTGTTAGGGACTGAAGCTCAGTTTCCACTCTATTGTATTGGAATGTGTGTCGTAGGTAATTTTAAGTTGTACACAACTGGATCTTTTTTATGATTAGGCATGGAAAGGCTGTAAGAGAACCCATTTTATCTAAAATTTTCCGTTTAGCAGTTCCTTTTTCCCTAAACAGCACTTTTTATCAAGAATCAGCCGGGCATGCAGCACGCATGAAGCCAAACTACAACACAAACACAAGAGGACATCTGCTGGGAAGACAGCAGCAGACTCCAGGCCTTATGAAATTTTTTTTTGTCCAAAAAAGCTTGCATGGTTAGTACCCAGGCCACATACACTGTCGTTGTGTCTTTCCAAGACTAGAGCCTTTAGGGGGCAGGGGCGGTTTGGACCAACAGGGCCAAATGAATCCATCACTCTGATGACTATGCATTTGTCCAGATCTACCAGGCAGGCTTCTGTCCTGAGTCCTAACAAGGATGACTCATGTTAGGCATTTCATGGAAGCCCCTTTGCTTGGCAGAGGTCAGAGGCTCCCTTTGGAATATGAAGCTGACCCGACAGCTCAGGGGTTCAGGCTGAACAATGGAAGATTTGGGAGAGAACTACCTCCCTTGGGGGTGTAATGTGACCTTACTTATTTGGCAACACTCAACGTGAGCTTGTAACTCAAGGATCAGGTTATGTTCAAATGTTCTTTGTGGCTCAGAATCCTTTTACTGGAAACCCCAGAAGAAAGTGGAGCCAACGAATGGGACTGAAAGATGTGCCCGGCAGCCAAGTTGGCACAGTGCACTTGGAGCCACATGCCAGTTCTCCACAAAGTGAACCTGTGTTCCAGAGCACCTTGATGAATGCTGCAGCTGGGGACTCCTGGAGATTCTGCTCCTCTGTTCTCACTGCTCTGTCTAAACATTTTCACGCTCTAGGTAAGGGCCAGGCCACCCTGCTCCTTGCGAAGCTCGCCTCACACGGGGAACTGTTTTCCATGGCAACGACCAGCCTGTGAGGCTGGGCTGTCTTAGTGCTAGATGCCATGTTAGTGAAACCAGTTTCCCTTTCTATGACACCGACTCTGATCTGAGATGGAAAATGGAGGAATTTAGGGGAACTATGTGAAATTTTATTGAGACGGATGTCCAGGTTTGAGGCTGGGCCAGGGGAAGATATATTTTTGAGAAACTTTAGTGTGTCAAGAAGGATGCCAGGTGCTGGGAGAAATAGAAAGGGGAGAGCAGGTCTGTACATCTTGCAGTTCTCTATCCACTGGGCAGTGGGCATGGGGCTGTAAAAAACACATAAATGAAGCCACAAATGGCAAGCATGCTGTAAAAGGAATGCATAAACAGTGCGATAGGGGAACAGAAAAGAAATGATGTGACTTGACTTGGGGAGATTAGGAAAGGTTTCACAAAAGAAAAAGTTGTTTTCGGACTGGGTCTTGTGGCCCTCAAGTGAGGTCACGAGAGATGCTTATCAGCGACAGAGGGAAAATGTGAAAAGGTTTAAGAATATCAAAGAGGGCATTTAGGTAGCTTGTGGCTCAAAAAGTGGTGTGTGGGTGTGTGTATGTTTGTGTGTGTTCATGTACGTGCATAAATACGATGAGATCAAATGAGGCTGCGTCCCAGGCAAACTGAAGAGACGAGGGGATGGCAGAACTTAAGTCTATAAAGGAGTCAGAAAAGCTCTCGTCACAGGGAAGTGTCGTGAAGAGACAGCAGATTCCACGTAGGGTGGATCATGGAAGCGCAATCAGTAGGGGATCACAAGATGCTTCGTGCTTCTCTACCCAAGATGGGACTATCCGGGGGATGGAAAAGACCCCCGTTCTAGCCCTGCCACGCAGAGCCTCAGACAGCACCTGTCACAGGACAGCAGTGCCTGTGGCCTGGACCTCACATCACTTTTCTAGATGCATTTCCTGTGCACATTTTGAAGCACATCTGCTTCCCATTAGCGCTTCCAACTCCCTGAGATTCTTGAGTAATCTCATTTGGCTCCAAGTTCTGTAGAACGTTTTTTAACAACAATTTACCATAGTGGTTTGGCTGGCGAGACACGTCTGGCCCGGCTAGAAGAGCCACTCCCATGACTATCTACAGTGGACTTGAGAATGCGCCTTCCCCACCCCCAGACTGAAGATGAGTGAGGTGTGACACACAATGGCCATCTGTCCTAGCAGGAAGGGTGGGGAGTCTGGTCTCTCCCCAGCTCTCCTGTTCCCTCCAAGCAAAATCCCTCCCAGCTGACTGGCACCTGGGCTCAGTTGCCCAGGACTTCCTCCCAGGTCCCCAAGCTCACTGGGTGTAGCTCATCTTCTACTGCTTTTCCTGATGTACTTCTGGCTTCTAGGAGTCCTTTCCAACTGGACATCTCATAGACTCCAGTATTCAACATGGCCCCAAAATGTTCTCAGTATTTTTCACCTCACCAGAAACCTGCTGCTCTTCAAATATGAGAATGACATGCCTAGTGTACTTCTCAGACCACTGCACAACCAGCGTAGCAAGGGTGCCCAGCAATCAGCCATAAACAAGTGATGGAGTAGGACCAATGTATCTATGCTGACATCACTCCTGGCCACGCGTCTGTTGAAAATTCTTTGTCTCCACCCCAGCACATTCCAAATAAAGTTCAACCTTTCCATCAAGGCATGACAAATGTTGCTTGATCTGACTGATGTCTATCTTTTCAATTTTATCTCTCCTCCTTTCCCCATATACAAGCACATCTAAAATCGTCACACTAAACAGTTTATTCCAAATTCTAACCCCACCACAGGGCCTTTGCACAAGCTCTTCCCACTTCTTAGCATGCCTTTCCTCTTCTTTTAATCAGGAATCACTTAAACATCATCTTCTTTGGGTAGACATCTCCCCCTCTCCGCTGCCTCCATTAGATGTGGTGCTTCTGACCCATCCTCGGCACAGCCCCTTCATGCCATGTGCTGCTGTATTAAAGTAAAATGTTAGTTGTCCATCTCTCCTGCTGAGCTTCAAGCAACTTGAGGACACAGAGTGTCTTTTTTCTCTGCATCTTTAGAACTTAGTAAAGAGCATGACACAGAGCAGGTACTTAATAGATCTTTGTTACATAGATGAATCAGTAAATTGTTCATGTTCCTGGCTTTTCCTGAACATATCACATACAAATTTACCTTTCCTCATCAATTTCTCAGAAACATGCTAGACAAACAATTTTCAGCTAAGGAGCTAAATGGTGATGATGAGTTAGTATTATTTCTGTTCCTCCCTACTATTTACATTTTCAACAATGTTATCTTCTCGACCCTCAAAGCAATAAAAACAAAACAAAACAAAACAAAAAACCAGAAGCATTATTCTAGCTTTCATTTAAGAGTGGAAACATTGCATATTGGAGAAGCTGAGATGCTTTCAGCTTGGATTCGAATTTAGTGTCTCTGTTATTTCCCTCAAACCTCTCATGTATGTATGTATGGAAATCTGAATGCCTTAATACAAAGAATGGATTGTGATTTCTGAACGATAGTAAAGAAAATTGACAAGCAATTAGAAAAACAAGGGACTATTCATAATAACAATAACAATAACAATAATAATAATACCAACTTCCCAAATCACAGCACACATAACTTTCTTCTATGCCTTGGAGCTAAATTATGGTAAAATTTTGTTCTGCTTGTCTAGGCATGTGGACTGTGAATTTTCTCAGAAGTTATTCTGTTTCCAAAATCTCTTGGTGGTGGTAGGTACATCAGGAAGTCTCTTGGGCATGTATTTGATCCCCAGTTTGTATAGTTTCCTTACTCTTATTATTAAAATTTCAAAATTTTAGCCCTGCCTACCTCAAATTAACATGACATTTTCTAAGCTCCCTGGCAGCTACCTGTGGTCATAGGACCACTTTCTGGGTGGTGGGATTAACCAGAAGCATTATGTGTAGTTTTGGAAATAAAGAGAACATGTTCTTCTTTTTCTGTCCTTCTTACTGCTGCCTGGGATGTAGAGGCAAAGCCTGATGTTTCAGCAGCTATCTTAGGCCAAGAGGAGAAGGAATGCACAGTGGTGCTAGAAAACTGCTGAAAGTAGTTATACAAGCCAAAAATCCCATCAACCATGCCAAAAGAAAATCTGAATTATTTCCCTTTTCTCGATATGAGAAAATCCTATTGCAAAATTGTCTTAGGAGGCTAACAAAGACTATGATGTTTCATCTGAATTTTTAAATCAGCTTTAAAAAAAAAAGAAAACTGCTGAAGCTGCATGCCCAACACCATGCACTCATGATACCAGCTCTGCACTGTGTATATCTGGAATTCTACATGAACGATAAACAGACCTCTATCTTACAAAAAGCTACTGCTGTCTTGGATTTGCCATCTCTCATAGCCAAACGTAATCCATCCTAAATACACATGGCATCTAGACAAACATAAATTTGATCTAACATACCTTCTCCATTTTATCTTCCATTCTAGTCTCCTCTTCTCCTTTCTGCATGGGCCTTGTACATCCCATCACTCAAATGTTTAAACTGTTTCCATCCATATGTTGAAGATCTTCCGTTTTTTCACTTGTTCTAAGCTATGCCAACCTCCTAGTTTCTGCTCCTATGTAACTTCCTTCCCTGATTCCCCACCAGGAGGGAGAGTATTTCCCCAACCACGTGACTCTACAGAATGTTTTTTTCTATTTTTTAACTGTGAGAATACTTCCATAGAATGCTCTGCCTGTGTGACAGAGGAAAAATAAGTCAATATTATCGAGTGTCTACCATGTGCCAGACTGTGTACTTTTATATATTATCTCATCTCATCTTCACAATGACGTTGTGATACGGATATGCTCATCTCCATTAAACTTTGGTTTAGGGAGATTTAATTACTTGCCTAAGTTCTTATAACAAGTAACTGACAGATCTAGGATAGGAACCACGTCTATCTGAGTCTGAAATGAATTAATTTTCTGCTATGCCTTGCTACTTCCTAGGATTGTGGTTAGTGGTGTGAATTTCATAGGATTTTAAAATTTGTAAAGACCAGTAGCCATGACTTATTCCCTACTGTACCCCTTCCCTTAGAATCTAGGGCAGCTCCTGTCCTATCCTGGATTTGCAAAATAGACACTGTTAAAGCAGACCAGGGATGATGGCTCGGTGGTACAGCCTTTCACGTTCAACCACCCAGCAACGGAAGAGCCTGCCAGGAGCCTCAGCGTCTTACCGGGGCTCAGCGTTAGGGCTGAGATGCTCAGAGGCAACAGGAGGTTAGAACATTCATCTATAGAACAACTTAGACAACCACTCAGAATTCTGGCTGAGAAGACACGAAGAAGGTCCAACCCTTACTACTTCCAAGTCCGCCCCTGTTTCAAGCACAGGAATGGAGAAGAGCTCAGAACAGACTTCAGAGGATCCCTAATAGTCCCCAAAGTCTCGCCTTCCAGCACAGTGACAGCTGGCATAGGTCCCTAAGCCACCCAACTATATATGTAAAGTGGTATAATTAGTAAGTAGCCACCCTCCATGCACAGTGAAACAAGAGCAGAATCTGGGTGTCAGGTTGCTGACCTCACCTGGGCTGGTATTTTGCACTGACAGAGTGTGTGTGTGTGTGTGTGTGTGGTGTGTGTGTGTGTGTGTGTGTGTGTCTGATGGTAAAGAAACAACGTAACAGCTAATCCAGTGGTTAGAGGCACAGGACTTTCTCTGAACCTCAGGGTTAGGGGCTGGCTTTTCTTCCCTGTCCCGGCCCCTCCTCTTCTTCCTCTCCCTCGTCCTTGTGGAAAGCGCACTCCTGGATCTGCCGGTCCAGCTCAGAGAAGCCCCCTTCCTGGTCCAAGCTGCTGTCGGTACCATAATCGATCTCCTCCAGGCAGGGAGGTTCGTCATCCAGGTCTGAAGTGATGCTGCTGCTCTGGCTGCTGGACCTGCCGCGAGTTCCCAGAAAACATGGAGAAGAAAGAAAGGAGAGGGAAAAAGGGAAGGAAAAAGGAAAAAAAAATAAGAAAAAAGAAGGGAAGGGAAACAGAAACAGGGAGATGGAGAGAAAGGAGAGGGAGATGAAAAGAGAAGTTACCCAAAGAAAGAAACATTTACAGTCAGTTGGAAAAGGAGGGTGGAGATTATCTTCTCTGGGTTTTCATCTCCAAAGCCCCTGCTCCTTAAAATGTGTTGCATACACAGTGCCCCGTGTTCTTAACTACCATCTTGAAGATGGAGGAAGAAAAATCTATAAAATCTGTGGGCTCCCTTCTTCCTGGACCAACAGAGACTGCATTTCTACCTCTAATCAGAAGATTTCCAATCACAGGATATGGCCATCTTCAGGGTCCTTTAGGCTCAAAGTGAACAATCAGAGAAGGCAGTCATTGAGTATCTGAGACTATCCGGTCAGTTACACCCAGGAGAGAATGGGATTGGAATCCAGGTGGATTCCCAGTCCCTAATGCTTCCCACTCAGTAACAGCACTGTAAGTCATATCACATCGCTCCCCTCCATCATGATGAGTGGCTTATTGGAATTACAAAGTTAATCCAGGTTGAGATTAGAGGAGAGAGTAAGTGGGGAAGCAGCACTCTCTTTCAACTGAGTTTGTGCTTCCTCATCACCTTGCATACCTCCCTCCAGTTTATTCACAAATGGAAGATCACAGGGTTGACCAGCAAGAGACAGAAGGGGACAACAGGAATGAACAACCACCCTGGATCATATATTGTGAGCAGGAGAAATTTCCTCCCAAGGAACTGTATATCTTCCTCATTTGCATGAGGTGTCTTCTTTCCTGAAGACTTTCTAATCACTCCCTACTTAGGACTTCACCAATTAGGATGAGCAGCGTGCTGGTTTCTACTCTGTGATTTATGGAAGGCGAGCACTTCATAAATCAGGCAGAGCTGTTCATCCACCTGCCTCGCCATAAACAATGAAAATGGGTAATCAGCAGCATGGTTACGTTTCAGCTCAGGAAATGAATCAGAGGCCAGTTTCTTAATTGTTCACTGACTCTTAGAAACGGCTCTGTGCTCTCCAGGCTCTCAGTACCCTAAGCTGAAGGTCTGGTGGGACATTGCCTGGATGGAGAGGAAAGGGAAGAAATACAAATCTTGCTTCCACAACACCGCAGCATTAAATTATTATCGTATTTTACAGGCTGACTTGCAGGCGATAAAGCAGTTGAATAAAGGACAGTAAGAACTGCCTAGTCATGATAGGAGCTCAGTCAGCAAGCACACTGAGTGCCTGTGACTCAGCTGTCACCATGGTAGGTCCTGAAGTGACAAAGCTGTACAATGTCTATAGCTTGAGTTTTAATCCTGGCTATGTGACCTTGGGAAAACGCCTTTACCTCCCAGAATGGCCATAGTAATACCTCAAGAGTTGCTGTGAATACTAAATAAGAAAACACATGGATGCAATATAGCAGGGTGCCTTGTAAAGTAAAAGCAATCAACACATTTTAATTACACTTTCTGCCATGGACCCTAAAAAAAAGATGGTGAAACACGATATTGAAGGACAGCACACACTGAGATCCGTTGCTTCACACCTGGGTGACCGTAATAACTACTGCAAAACCATCCACATTGGCACTGCTCGCAGTTTCGCTAAAACATAATTTTTATTATGCCATTTCAAAGTCAGTGACTTGCTGTAACTCGCCTTTGCTTAATGCCATGCATCCGTGGACGGGGCATTCTTAAAGGGTCCCGTTGGCAGGAGTCCACGAGTAAACAGCAGGGTCAGTTTTTCCCCAGCAAGGCCTTCGCTCCACTGTGAAGTCTGCTCCAGTCTCTCCCAGACACGGATCCTTCCCACTACAGCCATGTCGTCAGGCCGTTCATCTTGGGGTCGTTCAAACATACTGCTCCCAATGTTTTTTTCCAGGTCTTTATTCATACAACCCATTTCCTGTATCTAAAATAATCTTCCAACTCCTCATCATCCAACCAAATAAGATAGATCGTTTTTAAAAGCTCATCTGAAGTTCTGCCAAATGACTGTTTTGGTAACTCCGTCTCTTACTGAAATTTCCTCCTCTACAGATAAATCGTCACATATTCCCTTAATTTGTTTTGACCCTTACTAATATTTATAGCCTTTATATTGTGAATAAGGCCTATGCCTCTGAATAGTTTATATTTATGTCATTCTATAGAACACCTAGAATATGCTGAGAACATAGTAGAAATAAATGAATAAATGAATAGTTGCCATATTGAATGGATAATAGGTATATTTGTAGAAAAAATATCTATGTATTGCACTACCTTTGGACAATTACTTGTTTACCTTTGGTTATCTTTTTTCAAAGGGCTTTTTTAACTGGTAACTTTTTATAAAATTGAGGAATAATTGACAGATAATATTGTATCAGTTTCCGGTGTACAGTATAGTGATTTGATATTTGTATCCATGGCAAAATAATCACTAGGATAAGTCTAGTTACAATCTGTCACATTAGAAAGTTAATACAATATTATTGACTATGTTTCCCATAGTGTACTTTACACCCCCATGGCTTATTTATTTTATTACTGAAAATTTTTACTTCTAGATCCCCTTCACCTATTTAATGCCCCCTACCCACCCTCCCATCTGACAACCACCAATGTGTTCTCTGCATCTGTGAGTCTGGGTTTGGTTCGGTTTTGTTTGTTTCTTTGCTTTGGTTTTTACGTTCCATATATATCATACAGTATTTATCTTTCCCTGTGACTTATTTCACTTAGCATTATACACTCAAGGTCCATCCATGTTGTCCCAAATAGCAGGATTTCATTCTTTTTATCACTGGGTAATATTCCATTATATATGTGTGTGTGTGTGTAGCATATTTTTTTATCCATTCATTCATCAGTGGGTACTTAGGTTGTTTACATACCTTGACTATTGAAAATAATGCTACAGTGAACAAAGGCATGCATATCTTTTCAAACTAGTGTTTTCATTTTCTTAGGATAAACACCCAGTAGTGGAATTGATGGATCATATGGCATGTCTATTTTTAAATTTTTAGAGTAATTTCCATAGTTTTTCATAGTGATTACAACAATTACATTCCCATCAACAGTGCACAAAAGTTCCCTCTTCTTCACACCCTTGTCAACACTTCTTGTTTCTTGTATTTTTGACAACAGCCATTCTGACAGGTGTAAGGTGACATCTCATTCTGGTTTTGATTTGTATTTCCCTGTTGATTAGTGATGTTGAATATCCTTTCATGTGCCTGTTGGTCACCTGTATGTCTTTGGGAAAATGTCTGTTCATATACTCTGTTCATTTTTTAATTGAATTGTCTATTTTTTGTTATTGAGATGTATGAGTTCTTTATATATTTTGGATATTGACCTCCTCCTTGGATATATGATCTGCAAATGTCTTTTCCTCTATTAGTAGGTTGCCTTTTGTTTTGTTGATTATTTCCTTCACTGTGCAGAAGCTTTTTAGTTTGATGTAGTCCTGTTTGTTTATTTTTGCTTTTGTGTCCCTTGCCTTTGGAGTTAGAGCAAAAAAAAAATTGCTAAGCCTGTTGTCAAAGAGCTTACCACCTGTTTTGTTTTAGGAGTTTTATTGACTTCAGGTCTTATATTGAAATTTGTAGTCCATTTTGAGTTAATTTTTGTATGTAGTATAAGAAAGTAATCCAGGTTGATTCTTTTCCATGTGCTGTCCAGTTTTCCCAACACCATTTATTGAAGAGACTGTCTTTTCCCCATTGTATGCTCTTGACTACTTTGTAATCAATTGATTGACCAATTAAGTATGGGTTTATTTTTGGGCTCTCTATTATGTTACATTGATCTATGTGTCTGTTTTCATGTCAATACAAGACTGCTTTGATTGCCATACCTTTGTAGTATAATTTGAAGTCAGGGAACATGATACCTCCAGCTTTGTTCTTCTTTCTCAAGATAGCTATGGCTATTTGGGCTCTTCTGTGGTTTCATACAAATTTTAGAATTATTTATTCTAATTCTGTGAAAAATGCCATTGGAATTTTAATAGAGATTGCATTGAAGCTGTAGATTGCTTTGGGTAGTATGGACATTTTAACAATGTTAAATCTTCCTATCTGTGAATATGGAATATATTTCAATTTATTTGTGTCTTCTTCAATTTCTTTCATTAATATCTTGTAATTTTCAGTGTCCAGGCCTTTCACCTCATTGGTTAAATTTTATTCTTTGGTATTTTATTCTTTTTGATATGATTGTAAACTGGATTATTTTCTTGATTTCTCTTTCTGATAGTTTCTTATTAGTGCATAGAAACACAGCAGATGTGTGTGCCTTGATTTTGTATCCTGCAATTTTACTGAACTCATTTATTAGTTCTAACATTTTTTTTGGTGGATTCTTCAAGGCTTTCTATGTATAGTATTATGTCATCTACAAATAGTGATACTTTTATTTATTTCTTTCCAATTTGGATAGCTTTTATTTATTCTTCTTCCCTAATTGCTGTGGGTAGGACTTTCAATTCTATGTTAAATGAAAGTGGGAAGAGTGCACATTCTTGTCTTGTTCCTGAGATTAGAGGAAAAGCTTTCAGCTTTTCAGCATTAAGTACTATATCCACTGTGGGTTTGTCATATATATTTTTTTTAATGTTGAGTTCCTTCCCTTTATACACACCTTGTTGAGACTTTTTATTGTAAATGGAAGTTGAATTTTGTCAAATGCTTTTTCTGCTTCTATTGACATGATTGTATGATTTTTATCATTCATCTTGCTAATATGATGTTCCACATTGATTGAAGTGTGGATGTTAAACCATCCTTGCAATCCAGGAATAAATCCCTTTGATCATGGTTTATAATTCTTTTAATGTACTGTTGATTTTGTTTTTCTAATATTTTGCTGATGATTTTTGCATCTATGTTCATCAGTGATATAGCCTGTAATCTTTTTTTCTTGTGGTGTTCTT